GCACACATGGGTGCACTTATATACATGCAGGTAAAACACTCATACACATAAAATAAATAGAAAATTAAAAAACTCTTTGATTTAGCACCTTGGTACATCAGGTGGGAATGCAAAGGGGGTTATCAGAGCAGGGCAGACAAGCTGGATGTCATTATTAATCATGGTTGGCTTCTAACTACTGGTAACAAGAAGACTTCTGATTTGTAATCTTAGATAAATTACAGATAAATGAAAAAAGCAATCATACACTAAGATTAATAGACCACCTCAAAAGTAACTGCATGAAGGTTATGCTTATAGCAAAGTTTCACAAGATAAGGCTCCAGATTTTTAAATCCTATGTCTGGCTTGCAGAGCAATGCTCATGACCATTTTGAAAGCCTTCCTCAAGCCATCTTTGCTCTTTGCTAAACACTCCATGTACCCCAAAGAGCCAATCCCATCTCTGCCTTCTTCAGGTTTACCAGCTTTTGCTTACACTTAGTCAACTGCCACATTGTGCGTTCATTAATCCATAGATCTTCTTGTTCCCAATCAGGATGATGGCCCTTTGGAGGCAGAAAAGCTTGACTTCCGGAGTCCATTTTTCTGGGATATTTTTTAAACTATCAGGTCAATTAATGGAGGAACACATCAGTGTAACATTGGTGTCTAGGTAGGAGAAGGGTCTCAAGTCATCCTAATCTTCCTTCCCAGCTGGGACCTACAAAGTCAGCTCCTCTTGTTTTCCATCTACTTTAGTATCTACCATATAGCTCTCAATCACCATGGACACGTACACCTCTGGAAACTGGTCCTTACTGAAGACTATGGGCCAGCATGTCTCTCCACAAGCTCCATCACCAACAATCACCAGTTTTCCTGGATGGCAGCCACAGCCTACAGATATGCTGTCAAATGCACAGCTTGTGTGACAGAAGTTGTACAAAGCACCCTGAACTTCTCATATGGAAGACTCAGGCAACAACTCTCCAGCTTCTTCACCCAAAGACACCTAGCCACGAGTCACAGCTAAGAGACAAGGGCCAGCAGGCTAGAGAGAGAAATGGCACAGCTAAGACCCAGGTCCATAGGCGAGGGCCAGGACATGGGGTAAGGGAGGGCTGTGAGTCCCATGCTTACCCCAGAGGACCCAGCAAGTGACAGCTGGCACCTAAGTATTTAATTCTTTATGTAAAAATAAACAAGTAGACCCATCTCATTTATATGAAACTCTGCTTTCATCTTTAATAAATGGTAAAATTATATATACTAAATAAGTGCTTTAAATTTTATTTATGATTTATTATCAGTAAATGTTTGATCTGTATAGCAAGTTTATATTACCTATTTACCCAAAGTTACATAAAAATTTCTCAAGCAAAAAGGGTCATAGTAGAAAGAGTTTTCAAAGAGCTCTGTTTTATGGCATAACCACTCATTTTATGGGCTAAATATTTCCTTTGTACTTCCTACTCTGCAAACATGTCCCTGGGCTAGTCAAATCCTGATTCCTAAAAAGTCAACAAGCAAGATGTTCAAAGACACTAGTTAAATGATTAATCATGAGTCAAGGAAACCTAGTCTGGGAAGGGAAGTTGATTTTATGGGGATAAATCTAAGCACAAAACAGTAAGTATAAACAAGACAGCTCAGTGACATAGCACAGTGAGAAAAGGCACTTGGATGGAAATGACACAAAAACATTAGACTTGGAAGAAGACAGACCACTTACTTGCTTCATCCATGGTGTGAACAGTAGCCGAGGAGGTGGGCGTGCTGGTGTCTATAACCCAATTAAATTAAGACACTAAACCAACGGTTTCCAACTTCTCCATCAAGCTACATAGCCTAAAGAGATTATTTTGACAAGCCTTAGAAATACTATAGTTTAATTCAACATTATAATGTTTTAACTGAGGTTTCACTCAATTAGAAAGATTTATGAAAAATTACTTTGTAACTGAGTGTGGGGGCATATCTGTGCTCAGGAGGCCAGCCTGGACTACATAGTGAAGAGGAGGAGGAAAGAAGAATCCATATACTTTGTGAAGCTGGTTTTGAAAACCCTGAGAACACTGTTGCTTGTTACCCATGACCTGCAGGTACACAGTAAACACCTCTCTAGGATACAGTGGCAAGGGAAACTAGCTGGGTCCACTGCTGTGCTTCCCTAGGCTGACTAACAAAGCCATGTAAGTCACTGTCCCTTCTCTTGCTGGCTTTAGGGGAGAAGGAAAGCAGAGGGCATGGTGACTGAGCAAAGCTCTTAGGGAAGAGTTCGGGGTGTAGCTGTGTCCTGTTTATTGACTCTACATTCCAGATTCAGATGCTTTCCTGTGTGTGTCAACTCACAATGAAAGAAATGCTAGGAAGGTGCTCTTCACAAATATGCAACTTTAGAGAGGGAAGGGGGATGGATGCAGATTTGGGAGCAGAGGTTCCAGGTACTCAAGGCTGAGCCAGGAGGTTCACTGGAGCTTGGGAGTTCAAGACCAACCCAGGCTACCAAGCAAGGCTCCCAGCTGAAAAGAGACAACTATGAACAATTACACTGCAAAGACACTCACAGGAAATACAAGATTTATGTGATAAAGCTACAAAATTTTACTGGAGTCAGTTTAAAAAAAAAAAGAGAGAGGAAAAAAAATCATCTCTTATTCCTAAATGAGAAAACTCAAACTTATAAAACAATTCTACCCTGTTAAATAATAAACTCAGTATCTTTCAAAAATAACAATTTGGAGTTGGCGCTAATGAGTGACTCTAAAGTTCATCCAAAGGAATAACACTTTAAGAATAACATAAACAAGGGCCTGGAGAAAAGGCTCAGCAGTTAAGTGCAATGGCTGCTCTTGCAGAAGACTGGGTTCAGTCCCCAGCACCTGCATGGTGGCTAACAACTGTCCATAACTCCAGTTCCAGGGGAATCAGACTTCTACTTCTGACCTTGGTGGGCACTGCATGACACTTACATACATGTGGGAGCAGGTAATACACTCATACACAAAAAAATAAAAAGAATAAAAAATTTTTAAAG